AATTTACTGCACGCTAAATGTTGGGGCACAGAAATGAAAGGATGAGGAACTCGCCTCCTGTCTCAAGAAGATCAAGAGCTGCGCCAGAGGGATTACACAGTGGGCAGGGCGTTTGCCTTGCTCACGACCGACCCGGGTTCGATCGTATGGACCCCATGTGGTCCCTCAAGCACAGCCAGGAGTAATTCCTGAGTGCAGAGCCAAAAGTAACCCCTGATATGGCTGGGTGTGACCCAAAAAGCCAAAGATAAAAAAAGATCAAGAGCCAATGAAGTTGACAGATAGAGAGAGAGAGAGAGAGAGAGAGAGAGAGAGAGAGAGAGAGAGAGACCCCCAAACAGGGCTTTCTTCCCAAACACTCAGGACCACCCCCCACCTCCACAGGAGGCACAAGCAGAGGGAAGCATGCTGAGAGCGCGTGAGGGTGGGTGCTTCTCAATGTTCTAGCTCCCAAAGGGCAGCTCCTCACAGCCAAGCCCAAGGGTGCTCAGGATCAGGGAACCTGGGCGGGGTTCACAAGGGCCAGGAGGGAGGGAGAGGGTGGGGCGGGGTTGATTCCGGGATGTGGGCGTGAAGGCAAGGCAGAGATGGCAGAGGAAGGAGAGTGAGTTATGCCCTGGACCACCGTGGCACCCGAACCAAAGTGAGGACCGAGAAGCTGAGCCAGGAGCGAAGGGCTAAAGGCCCGTAAAGAGGAAGAGATGGGGCCGTCAAGACCATCACCACGAGGGAACGGACGCAGGCAGAGGCCGTAGCAGGAACCATCAGCACTTTCTGTTACACATCAGCCAATTCAAAGAATATTTATTGCACAGCTGCTGCAGAAGATGTGGGGGAAAACACAGGGATAAATAAATCATGATCCCTGCCGGCACGAGGGCTGGATTTGTGTAGGGAAAACGAGATAAGCCCATAAACGGTCCTAATAAAGGAAAAAATGAGACATGTGTCATAAGAGAAATCTACCTTCAAACGCACACGAATTGCAAAGCCTCACTGCAGAAAATAAAGTTCATTCTATGTCATGTCTTCTTGATTCTCCGAAAGAAAAATAAAGGATATAGGACATAAAATTCTCCCTTGGTTTGCAAAGCTGTAGATGCCTGGCATAACTAATGTAATTGGCAATATAAAATATTTGCGACTTCCAAACAGCCCGATGGCTAACACTCCTCTACGAAGGAAAAAGCGGCCACTCGCTACAGCTCCCTATTGACAACGGGCCCAGGTTGGGGGATAGATTCCATTTCCTGGAGCAAGTTGTATACCACTAAAAAACCCTCAGTTACATTTGGGGGCAGATTTTTGTTTGATTTAGCTCTCCGGGAGGGTTTTCTTTTCCTGAGGTTAGAAAGCCATCCAGTGGGCAGTTCTTTAAATATCGCCCTAGAAGGAGCCTCAAATTCAACATGAGGAGATAGTTACAGAAATCCCTAATGGTCCAACCAACATACATTTTTCATAAAGTGATTATCCTCTTGCAGTCTCAGCTTCCTAAGCTTCCCCCCTTCTATAATTGTTTTCCTTGTAGGCCAGGCAACAATTACCACTGCTACAAGGCTGGGCAGGTTCACGAGCAATATATTTTACAATACATAAGTGGAGTCTCTGATATCTGGTGCTTCCATCACTAATTGCACTATAAAATGCGCTATTAAAACAGGGACAAACAAGATTGTAAAAATCACATAATGGACCGCGACCACTCACAAGAAGCCATCTGTAAATGTTACTGTAACACTTATTTTTCTTTAATTTTCCAGTTATGTAATTATTTTTGCCAAATGTCTACTCGTCGGGGAATCCCGTCAGGAAAAAGAATGCTCTGTGAGATGCCAGAAGCCACGTGCTGGCTTGCGGACGGTATTTTATCAAGTTGGTCAAAATTAAAGTCATGTGAAAAAAGCATCGAGTGATGCGGCGAACGTGGAATGCCTAAGGATGTCGAGCTGATCTCCAGAAAGCACAGGCGGGCACGGCAAAGGCACAGATGCCGTGAAATCGAGTCAAACCTCAAACCTTAAATAAAACACAGGAAGCGGGGCGGAAAGTGCAGGAAGGGTTCCCAGCCCCAGGAGAAGACGGGCAATGTGGTGAGAAGACGGGCAATGTGGTAACGACAGCGAAACACGTACAGACTGGAGAGAGGCAGGGCGGTCCAGAGCCAGCCCAGGACAGGCAGATCTGATGCAGGCACTGCTCTCTGCTCAGGGTCAGATTTGTCTCTGGGCCTCTTTATTTAGTCACACATCTCCCCAACTAAGAAACAGCACCCAGGGATCACAGAGAATGAAGGTTCTGCCGTTTGAGTTCTATATGAAGAATCCTAACAAACACTTACCTGAACTGGGAATTTTACGTAGTGATGCAGATAAACTATCCAAATAGTCCCCAGATTTCATTGATGTTACCATAGATCGCAAACACCACAAAGCAAAGATCAGACATCTTTACCACAGATCACAAACACTACAAACAAATGCCTCCTCCCCCCACCCCTGAGGCCCCAGACAAAAGACCAGCCAGCAACGGGTGCCCTGGGCTCATTGGCTCTTTGGGAAGGGGAAGCGTTGGAGGAGGGGAGATATGCAGGGCCCTGATCCTGGTGGCAGGAAGAAAAGTGGGACTGAGCTTGCATCTCCGAAACATGTTAGCTCCACACAACTCCCTGAACCTGCTCTCAAGATTCTCCTCAAACTGTGTACAGCGTAACACTACTCAAGCCAGAACCCACATTTATTTTGCTTTAACTTTTTGTTTTGTGCTGGTGTGATTTGGGGAGGCACACCCAGCAGTGCTCAAGGCTTACTCCTGGCTCTGTGCTCAGGGCTTACTCCTGGCTCTTTGCTCAGGGATGATTCCTGACTCTGTGCTCAGGACTCATTTTTTGGCTCTGTGCTCAGGGCTCACTCCTGGCTCTGTGCTCAGGACTCATTTTTTGGCTCTGTGCTCAGGGCTCACTCCTGACTCTGTGCTCAGGACTCACTCCTGGCTCTGTGCTGAGGGCTCACTCCTGGCTCTGTGCTCAGGGCTCACTCCTGGCTCTCTGCTCAGGGCTCCCTCTTGGCTCTGTGCTCAGGGATGATTCCTGGCTCTGTGCTCAGGGATCCACCCTGGCAGGCTCGAGGGAATATATGTGGTGCTGGGATGGAGCAGGCCAACTGTGTGCAGCAAGTGCCTTACCCACCGTGCCGTCTCTCCAGCCCCTTAGTTTTCTGTTTTGGGGCCACACCTGGGAGTGCTTCGGGGAACTCCAGCGGGGCTCAGGAACCAAACCTGGGGCTCCCACGTGCACTGCATGTGCTCCAGCCCCCCGAATCACCTCCACAGCCCAGAGACTCCCTGGAAAATGAGTGACACCCACAGCAAGAAACATCGTCATTGCACCTAAATTGCTCTGTTTCAGGAGGTACTTAAATTTGTTTGTGTGAATTATTTTCTCCTTCCCTTTTAATCCCACAGATGCTTTACTAGCTAGTGCTCAATCTTTCAAAAGGAAATTTGTCAGAAAGAAATGTCAGGAAGACAAAAGATTGTAAAATGTCTGCAAGAATCTCAAAAATGGAAAAAAAAATTTTTAAAAATGTCAGGGGCTGGAGTGATAGCACAGTGAGTAGGGCGTTTGCCTTGCACACGGCCCACCCAGGTTCGATTCCCAGCATCCTACATGGTCCCTGGAGCACCGCCAGGAATAATTCCTGACTGCATGAGCCAGGAGTAACCCCTGTGCATCGACGGGTGTGACCCAAAAAGAAAAAAAAAATTTTCAGAAACAGAATTCTCTTCATGCATAGGAGTCAATTTTTTTTTTATTTCAATTGTAATAATTTGGATTTTTTTTTTTTCTCCAAATGCCAAAGACTTAAAGTCTCCTAAAACTATGTGGGATTCAAAAGGAGAGAGAGAGTAAAAGGGATTGTGCCTGCCACGGAGGGATACTGAGAACACAGAAGGTGGAGAATGGGCACTGGTGGAGGGATGGGTACTCAATCATTGTATGACTGAAAGTTTGTAAGTCTGTAACTGTACCTCACGGTGATTCATAAAAAAAAAAAAAATTAAAAAGTAAAAATAAAGGTAAAGGTAAAGGCCCTCCCGTTGATCATCGATTTGCTCGAGCGGGCCCAGTAACGTCTCCATTGGAGACTTTGTTGTTACTGTGTCTGGCATATCGAATACTCTCGGTAGCTTGCCGGGCTCTCCGAGAGGGGCGGAGGAATCGAACTCGGGTCGGCCATGTTGGCTGCATGCAAGGCAAACGCCCTACCTATGTGCTAAAAATATAAATAAATAAACAAACAAACCTACATGGGATTAAGTTGACTGAAATCAGAAGCTGTCCAGGGGGGCTGCCGAGTCACTGGTTTGGTGGCAGCTGTATTTCTGATGGGTCCCCGCAGCCCAGGTGATAAACTACACTTGCAGCTGAGCTCCCACTGGGCGCCAAAAACATCACCAATAAGAGAGCGAGTGGGGTGCTGCCTGGCACGCAGTCAAGCCCGACTCACTCCCCGGCACCACCGTGCCCTGGGCTGCCCAGAGTAGCCTCCCCTACCCCACATCCCCAGTACAGATAGACAGGGATGGTCCCCAACAAACAAACAAAAATCACAGGCTAGCTGCAAACCATGCAAACCAGTAGCCCTAGAGCACTGTCCTACCGTTGTTCATGGCTTTGCTCGAGCGGGCACCAGTAACGTCTTACAACAAATTGTGAGACTTGTTACTGTTTTTGGCATACTAAATACGTCACGGGGGAGCTTGCCAGGCTTTGCCAGGCCGGCGAGCAGAGCTGAGGAATCGAACCTGGGTCAGCCAGGTTGGGCGCGGGCAAAGCAAACGCCCTACCCGCTGGGTCATCGCAGCAGTTATTATCTTAAAACCCAAACGAAGCCACCCAGCATCCGAGTCATCTCCAGCAGGGTTATCTTCCCCGGGGAAGCCGTCCCCCCCCCCCCCCCTACACCGAGAGCGAAGCCCCCTGCCCCCGCCCCACTTGCCTTGTCGGCCGAGTCGGAGGCCAGCAGGTTGGTGGCCAGCGTCTGCAGCTTGTGGTGCGCGATGTTCTTCAGGGCGGCCAGGCTCCGGCGGGTCATGGCCTGCTTGAGGTTGACCGCGGGGTGGCTGAGCGAGTCCACGGCGGCGGGCACCGCCTCGTCGCAGGCGTTCAGGATCTCCACCGCCGTGATGCCCATGACGCAGCGATCCAGGGCGCCTGGAAGACAGGGCCAGGGCCCGGGTGACGACGACGCGCCGCGGGTGGACGCGGGGCGTCGCTTCCCCCCCACAGACGCGGGGTCTGGCCACACCGCCTCCTCCCCTCCCCGGAAACACCGTCTCTGTCCCCGAAGGCCTCTAGGCCCCCTCCTCGGCGGGGACCAGGCCTCCTCGGCGGGGACCAGCTCCAGCATCTCGCTCCTCGGAGGCCCCGACGCGCCCGAGAAAATCAAGCCAGAGCCGAGATGTCAACCGCGGGCCTTGGCCACCGCCACCCGGCGTCGCCCCTGCCTGCCCTGCCCAACGCCCGCATGATCCCACCCCGTTGCTCGGCCACACCGAGGGTCAGCAGCCAGCCGGGGCAACTCTCAAGAAACAAAAGACCTGACTGTGGCCAGTTTGCCCTCATTTTTCTGGAGAGTCCAGAAGAGGACGCTCCTCTGGGGAAAGGGCAGGGGGAAACGTCTGACTCGGATTCTATCAGAGAACTCGGTGCCCTCGGCGCGTCTGTGAGGAACGGAAACAGCTGCTGCCGGGGCTGGAGCGATAGCACAGCGGGGTAGGGCGTTTGCCTTACACGCGGCCGACCCGGGTTCGATTCCCAGCATCCCATAGGGTCCCCCGAGCACCGCCAGGAGTGATTCCTGAGTGCAGAGCCAGGGGTAACCTCTGTGCATCGCCGGTGTGACCCAAAAAGCCAAAAAAAAAAAAAAAAGAAAAGGCTGCTCTGACTGGCAGGTTTTTCCCAGCGGTGCCACGGGCCGCCTTCTCCCGTCAGCCCACGGGTGCCGGCGCCTTCCCCGGAGCGCACGAACGGCCTCCAGGACGCAGGGTCTGCCCCGCACTTGCGTCCCGTCAGACGGAGAAGGGGTCCTCGGGGAGACGACGGAGGGGAACGGTCCCTGACAACAGAGTGACGCGGGGCGACAATCGCTCAGAGACATTCTCGAAGCGGATGCGTCGCGTCGCAAAAACGACCAGGGGGAAAGCTGGGAACCGAAATGTTCGCAAAACGGAGAACCTGCTGCGTGTTCTGAGCCCCAGTCACGCTCACTTTCTCCCCGGGCCGGACGGTTTGCTACAGGCCGTTCCTGTTGGTCCCTGATCTTCAACTGAGTTCCACTCTTGGCCTCTTCCCAGTGGTATTTCTGGAACAATTCTGGATGATTTCAGTATTCACGCAAATCCGTGTTACTATTTTATAAGAATTACTACTTACTAATTCACTGAATCTGAATATATTCTGGGAGGCCAAACAAGAACCAATTATTGCTAAATCTTTTCACATATGTGTAAAAAAAGAGAGTATAGGGGCTGGAGTGGTAACATAGCCGGTAGGGTTTTTGCCTTGCACGCGGCTGACCCGGGTTCAATTCCCAGCATCCCATACGGTCCACCCCGAGCACCGCCAGGAGTAATTCCTGAGTGCAGAGCCAGGAGTAACCCCTGTGCATCACTGGGTGTGACCCAAAAAGCAAAAAAAAAAAAGAAAGAAAGAAAGAAAAAAAAAGTGTATATGTAGCATTATGGGTTCAAAAACATGAACACGTTTAAAAATCATCAGACACTATCCTTCCACTTGTTCTGATTATTGAGTTCTCTGATATCTTTCCTCTAATGTGTCCTACACTTGCCCACTAGTGCTGAACGGACTGGAACCTTCTCATCACCAACAGTTGAAATCCTGACAGTCTTCAGTGAGGGCCTGCCCCAGGCCTCAGCCCTGCTCCTAAACTCTTCTATAAGGAATTAAAGTCAACTGAAGTTCCACCTCTCGATTCTCTGGTAATATTAATGAAAAACCCCACCAATGTAAGTAGATCAAAATAAAAAATGGTAACAAGCTTAAAAATTAGTCATAAGCAAAAATAACACCAGAGGTTCCCAAACTTCTTTTGACCACCAGGGGGATGGATGGGGGTGGGGGACTCAGTGTCCTCTGAAAATCTATCTTCTTTAAGTGAATAAACAGAAAGCACACACCCCCTCCCGCCCCCCCCCACCCCCTCCCCCGTTGGGCTGGAGCGATAGGACAGGGGGAAGGGTATTTGCCTTGTATGTATCAGAACCAGGTTTGATTCCTGGCATCCCATATGATCCCCCAAGCAGCACCAGGAGTAATTCTTGAGTATAGAGCCAGGAGTAACCCTTGAGCATCTCCAGATATAGATATATACATATATAATAAAAAAGAAAACAAAGAAAGCATCTTCAATTGCACCTGAGGCTACTATTAGTCCACTAGATTATTTCGTTCCCACTGGGCCAGTGGGATCACCCAGTTGGGAAATACTGGCTTACTCAAGGACCCAAGTTGTATGAAAATTCCAATCATTTGATAAACTTAAGTGTTTGCTTGTTTATGCCTTAAATACGCTCTCAAAAGGCAGAAATATACATTGCTCCTTAATTCACTGCTACATTTTATTAGTTAATGACATCCATGTCATTTCACAAAGTAAATGCAAAATCAGGAAAATTTTCAGAAACTCTATCAGATAATGGAAAGAGGTAACAGGAAAAAAACTTCAACAAGACAAGATTTCCAAAGTGATTTCTGAAATCCATCTGGCAACAAGCACCAGGGGTGTGTGCAGCTGTGTAAGCCACAGAACAGCTGTGCTTTTCGAAAGCACAGACCTAGGAGGTGAGAGTCACATTCACTCTGTGGCACTGATGATAAAAATGGGACAGAGAGGCCGCTGCGCCGGCTGGAGCACACTTAGATAAGAACCTTTGGCAGCTCCATCATAACTCAGAGCCGGCCACTGTCTCCCACAGATGCACACTACAGGCTTGTCAGAGACCTGCGCAAAAGAGACTGTCGGTTTATGGGAACATCAAATGGACAAAGGGAGCGCAAAGAAGCAGCCACCACAGGGGGTGGTGACCACTTTCAATAAGTTGCTGAGTCCAGTCAAAGGCTCATCAGGGATGTCGGACTTGATTTTTCAGACTTGGAGGAATGAAAGAGGACAATCGGGGGCTGGAGCCATAGTACAGCAGGTAGGGCGTTTGCCTTGCACACGGCCAACCCACGTTTGATTCTCAGTATGCCATATGGTCTCCCGAGCACCCCCAGGAGTAATTCCTGAGTAACGAGCCAGGAGTAACCCCTGTGCATTGCCGGGTGTGACCCAAAAAGAAAAAAAAAAGCGCGCAATCATGTCTGGGTCCTCTTGGGCCCCCTCGATGCCTGCTGCACACAACAAAGTCGGCCGGATGGAGGAGAAGACTGAGCCACCGGCTCAGCGACTCAAGGTTTATATGACTAGCGTCAGCCTCATTTTATTCAGAAGTAAATCACTGTGAATAAAAACTGCCCATTTGAAAGGGTGGTGGGAAGCAACAAAAAGAAAAGACTGCAGAAAGCATAAAGAAAGACTCTAGATGTTTTTATAGTGAAACATCAGCGTTACTCAAGGGGACAAACAGAAACTTGTATTCATTAGTGCCCCCCCCCAAAAAAAATACAACCCCAAATCATTGAGAAGCAGGATAAAAATATTTCCTCAGAGTTTAAATAGATTTCAAACATCTAACCTGGCTCAATCTGATTTATTTAGCTTCATTTTTTATTTATTTAACAAATAAATAAATTTAATAAATAAATAATGCCAATTCCTTCCGGGTGTGCCTTCCTGGCTCCAAAGGGACACCTACATCACTAGGTTCGGCCTGAATAGCAAGGAGGCCAAAACTATGTGTACTTCCCATTGTGGTAAACATCCCAAGTAAATTCTGCTTCTCTATCTTTAGCTTGATTGATGATGGCCACATGTTCAGCCAACAGTCTCGTAGAGGTTCTAATTATGAAACGTCATTATTATATACCATGTGTAATATGAAAGGGTTAAATCATACTAAAGTGGGTGTAAGAATAACATCCTCCACTACCTGTAAAACCAGGGACTTCCCTGCCACAATCTTCTAGGGATTTTTATAGAAAAATAACTTTGTCATGAAAACATTATCCTTAGTAAAGAATCTCGGCTTCCTTAACAAATGTATTTAGGGCCAGAGAAAGACATTCCACAGGGGCCCTCCTGAGGATGGAGCCAGGAGTAGCCCCTAAGCACTGCCAGCTGTGTCCCCAAAACAAAACCACACAAAACAATCCTTCAAATGTCTGTGGGACAAGAGATAGCTCAATGGGCTGGAGACAGGCTTGCAGCAGGCATGCAAGAGGCCACATCCCATCCTGAGCATCACATGGTGAGCCCTGAGCATTGAGCCAGGAACAGCCTCTGAACATCACCGAGTAAGACCCAAAACCACAAAGAAAGTATTTGGAATATTCAAGAATCAAGTGTTCAAGAATCTGAAAAATTAGTATAAATGATCCCTCTAAATATATCATTTATTTAAACAATTCCTAGACAAATTTACCATACTTTTATACTTCAGATATGCTAGCTGCTAATTTAATATTAAAATAGTTTAAAGTGATGGGGCTGGAGAGATAGTAGCAGAGGTAAGGCATTCTCCTTGAATGCAGCTGATCTGAGTTCGATCCCCGGCATCCCATATGGCTCCCAAGGACCAGCAGGAAACATTCCTGAGTAAAGAACCAGGAGTAACCCCTGGGCATAGCCAGATATGACCCAAAAACCAAACAAAAATAAACAAAAATTTTAAAACTGCATTAAAGTGTCTTTATAAGAACTTCCTTTAATATTAATTCCCAATGGAAACAGTTTGAAACCTACTTAAGCCTACTCAAAATGCCAAATTCAGCAAAATGATCAAGTTAAATGCCATGTGGGGCCAGAGCGACAGCACAGCAGGTAAGGTGTTTGCCTTGCTCACTGCCAACCCGAGTTCAATCCCCACCCCCAGCACCTCATATGGTCCCCCAAGCACCACCAGGTGCAATTCCTAAGGGTAGAGACAGGAGTAACCCCTGAGCATCACTGGGTGTGACCCAAAAAAGAAAAAAAGAAAAAAAAAGTTTAAAAGTATGTTTCTTTAATATTAAAAATAGGAAATATACCTGCATATAATACACAAATTTAGAATGCAAAAGATAGATATTATTTCATGCTTGCCCACCACATAAATATTATCTCATTTTTTTTTCTCCCAGCAAGATTATGTCACAGGAATGATTATCATCTTACAGATAAAAATCACGGGTGGGGGAAAAGAGGGCGGGCTAGAAGGAGCTACAGGCCAGAGCGCAGCAGTTGAGCCAGGCAGCCGCTGCAGGGGGTTAGAGTAAATCAAGCAGACGGAGATGCTTAACAGACAAAATGAGCAAAAAGGACCTAAAGCAAGTCCAGGGACCTGAGAGATTGTACAGCAAGGAGGTTCCAGCCTTGCTCACAGCCAACCCAAGTTCACTCCCCAGCACCAAATGTGTCTCATTCACCCCCGAGATTCCAACCACCCCCCCAAAAAAAACAGTCCAGCAAAAAATGATTCCTAACACAAAGCAAGGTGTAAGTCGGGCCCCGCCAGAAGCGATGACTAAAAGTACAGTCAGGAGTGAGCCCCCGAACACCACTGGGTGCCTCCTAATCCCCAAAAAGTAGCTTCCAAATTGCATCTGTAGTATGAAGCAACTCTGGGTTTGAAAATGCACAGGATAAAGAGTAAAACGGAAAACGGCAAAGGTTTATCACTTAAGCAACGGCATTGGGAATCAGCTTACTTCTAATATTTTTGTGCTTATAAAATTCTACAAAAAACATGAACCCTTTGTATAATTTACAAGAGAAAAGGAAAAAGTGCAAAGGGAAAAATGTTGACACTCTTCAAGAATGTTGCTTCTTTCTTGTCAATACTGTCAATATACCACAGTTAAAACACAGATTGTAAATTAAAAATTACACTAATGAACTATGGCTGCTTCTAAAAAAGAATGAAGTCATTCCCTACCACACCATGGCAGGCAGACTGACTTAAAGAAATACTATTTAAAACAAATGGGGGAAAAATTAAGTAAAAATACATGTAGAACAAAGAGTGTACAAAAAGGTTCCCATCATCGATATGTGACTACCTATTTAAAGTAGAATAAAATGTGTTGCTCTAAGCTTAAGTAATCATAAATAATCATTTTCAATCACAATCTTAAAAGATTTCCCAGGAGAAGAGGAGATTCTGAGAGTAAGAGCCAGCAGACCGTGTCATTGCCAGAACGGAAGCAAAGCAGTAACAGTTGTGTATTATGCCCCATATATAATGTTTCTAAAACTTGGCACTTAAATATTCTCTCCAAAACTTAAAACTTTCGTTTCAATCACCACCTTTAATTAACTGCCCCTAGTGGTTTTATCATGTTCAGATAAAAGAAAATTTTCTGCTCTTTATCACTATTTCTAAATCTGAGACTGGGGGCGAAAAAATGCTTCCTATCTGTTGCCCAGCTCACCTCATGAATTATATAGAAATGACATATTTTACTGGTGTCTGTCCATTTCTGTGTATTGTCTTTTTCAACTATACTCCTTTAAAGATGCACTTGGCATTGTACAAAATCTAGGAGGATATGTAAACATTTCGTTGGGAAAACCATTTTTTGTTTATTTGGTTGGTTGGTTTGGGGGCCACACCCGGCAGTGTTCTAGGACTTACTTCTGGCTCTCACTTAGGAATGAATCCTAGAAGATCTCAAGGAACCTGGTGGGGTGCCTAGGATGGAATCCCAGTCAGCAACATGCAAGGCAAGCACCTCCCTGCTGCTGTACTCTGCCCCAAGCCCTGATGAGAACATGTTTAAAAAGCAATGATCATTATTTCAGTTCCACTTTGGGGCAGGAGTTGGGGTTCAGGGTGGAAACATCTGAAATACGGTAGTGGGAAGATGTAATGGTGGTTGGATTGGTGTTCGAATGTTAAATGTAATCAAATATTGTGAACTGCTTTATAAAATTAAAAAAAAATTTTAAGCAATGATGAGAAAGTTTCCATCTGAATTCTTTTTTCCCTGATAGAGATGATGTTTGAGCTTCTAAGAGATTAAAAAAACAAACACACAAACAATAAAACAGGGGTATGGTGCCACCAACAAGTCAATCTGTACCTGTGAGGCGAGTGCATCAGCAGCCTGATGGCTCCTTCAGACTTCCAAATACCCCAAAATTGCTGCTGTGCCTTTGGACAGACCCCAAAAACTTCGGGCAAAGTTTACCAAGAAAGTAAAGGTAAAGGTAAAGGTAAAGGCCCTCCCGTTGATCATCGATTTGCTCGAGCGGGCCCAGTAACGTCTCAACGGCCAAAACGATAGGTATGTGGGAGACACACCCACAAACCACCTCCGGCTCAGCTATATAACTGGAGACATGGCCTCTCTGGTTCCTGATCGAACTACTTAACAGCCATGATCCCAGAGACTCAGAAACAAATCTTGAAACCCAACGGCTTTTGGCAGAAATGCATCCAGTCCCTGCAGTAAGTTACCGGTGCTGGGCCACCCCAAGTGGGAATAGGTTTCGTGCCTTGGCCTGTTCCCCCTGGCGGTCCGGTGGCCGTCATCCTCCAGAGGCCACTGGACAGTCAGGTTTGGGCCCACAGTGACGAGACAAGTGGGGCCTCACGGGATGGGGGTGGAACCTGCCCTTTGGGCACTTTCCTCCCTGCCTCAACAAGATCCCGAGTCACAGCCCATGAACGGTCACTCTGGCTCCTGATAAAGCCGCTTAATGGCCATGATCCCAGAGACTCAGAAACAAATCTCAAAACTCAATGGCTTTGGGCAGAAATACATCCGGGACCCCTCAGTAGGTTACTGTCACCAGGCCACCCCAGGGGGGAATAGGTTTCGTGCCTTGGCCTGTTCCCCCTGGCAGCACGGTGGCCGTCATCCTCCAGAGGCCACTGGATAGTCAGGTTTGGGCCCGCAGTGACGAGACAGGTGGGTCCTCACGGGATGGGGGTGGAGCCGGCCCTTTCCTCCCCATCCCAAGAAGACACCGAATGGCCTCTCTGGCTCCTGATCAAGCTGCTTAATGGCCATGATCCAAGAGACTCAGAAATAAATCTCTGAACCCAGTGGCTTTTGGCAGAAATGCGACCAGACCCCGCAGTAGGTTACTGTCTCCAGGCCACCTCCGGGGGGAAAGGGTGCTGTCCCTCCATCTACTCCCCCTTGGCAATTCAGTGGCCACCATCCTCCAGAGACCATTGGACAATCTGGTTTGGGCCCACAGTGAGGAGACCCTCAGAGCCTCACGGGATGGGGGTGGAGCCAGCCCTTTCCTCCCCGTCCCAATGAGACCCTGAGTTGCCACCCACAAACAGCCTCTCTGGCTCCTGATTAAGCTGCTTAATAGCCATGATCCCAGAGACTCGGAACCCAGCAGCTTTTGGCAGAAATCCCTCAAGATTTAATTGTTAAAATTTCAGGATTTCAAAATCACGTGGCCACTACTGCAGCCACACAAAATCATATGTTATTCATAACCAGAAATAGAAAACAAATTGTCTACGGTTGCCTTTTCGGCAGATCTGAGTGTTGGGGTAAAATGCCAAATAATAATGGTGGGTCTGGTGTCAAAATATTGAATGTAATCAAAGTAGAGAGTAATATGGAAATCATCTGTCCCACAGGAAGGGGGAGGGTGTGGAATGGGGGTATACTGGCGTTTTTGGTGGTGGAGAATAGGCACTAGTGAAGGTACTGGTGTTTCATTGTAGGACCGAGACTTAAACCCAAAAGCTTTGTAACTGCTCTCACGGTGATTCAATAAATAATATTATAAAAAATGAAAAAAAAAAGTAAGGTGGAGTTCATGCCCAATTGAATCAGCCTAATCAGTGACTGAATAAATAGTAGTACTACTACATTAAAAAAAAAACAATGACATCATTTCCTATTTCATCTCTGAAGGTGAGTTCTTACCAGTGTCCATTTGCCACACGTACACAGAGCCGTCTGAGCACCCCACAACCAGGTAGTCATCGGAGGGCCGCCACTTGATGACTTGAATGGGGAAGAGGTGGCGAGAGGCCAGCATTATGCACTTTTTCTCTCGTAAACTCAGAAGTCCAACTGAGTGGTCACTGGCCACAGAACAGACACAGTGCTGCACTCTGGCCTGAAAAAAAAGAACAAACTGTAGGTGAGTGTGGCTCTCATGGAGAATAAAACACATCCTGACCCCAGAGCTTAAAAGCAATCTAGACCTTCCTGACTGGAGAGGAAAAAAAAAAAAACACCGCCCTAGGAAGCTATGTCCAAAAGAGTCCTTCTTTACATTAAATACCAAACGCCCAGTCCATTCCTCCCAACACTTTTCTCTTCCTAAATCTAAATGAATCCATGACAAGAATGGAAAAGACGCTTTGGCAAATCTGCTCTTTGCATTTGAAGCTGACCTGACTGAAATGATGGCTACCTGTGAGCGGGTCAAGCTGGGGGAAAAATTGATCTGTGATTATGTGTTCTTTCCACAGTGCGAATTTCCCTTTGTTGGCGCCCAGAGCTGCTCAGCGCGAAGGGGCCTTCCGTCTGCGACTGTCATTTAGACCCAAGCTCTCACCGCTCATTGCTCAAAGACAATGCCCTCCTCGTCCTCCAGCCACAATCATTTCCTAAGAGCCGTGCATGGTTCATATTATCTGCAGATGTGCTTCACAGCGTCTGTCTATAATGTCAGCAGGGGCTTCACCTCCACCCACACACAATAGCCAATTAAACATCCAGCTATGTTTTTTCTGCTCATTTCTACTTTGGCCCTTCGATTCTTTCTGAGAGCAAGAAATAAGATGAACAATCAAGCACAGGCAGGGAAGATTTTTCACTCGTTGACACAAAACGAAACCCACAACCCGGGAGATGCACAATTTAGGTCCTTAACATCTTTGCGACAATTTCGAAGCCATTTGAAACTTAACATCTTAGTGACTCAGATTAGAGGCACTCAGTCCCACTGACTGAAGCTCCACAGCCATCTGAAACTCACTACTGTAGATGGTGTGGCTATTAATCAAGAAGGCGACCCTCTGGAATAAATAGTGGAACACACACACACAGAGAGAGAGAGAGAGAGAGAGAGAGAGAGAGAGAGAGAGAGATTCCCTTCCATGGAATCCAAAGGAAAAATCTGTACAACTTCACAATTTCACCTCAAAGAATAGACTGTTTTTAGCTGAAGATGCTCTTGATGTCGTCAGCTCACTGGTTGGTTCTCTAGTGACCAGATACATTGATAGATAGCAGATGGGGAGAAAATGAATGTGAACCAAATGAAAATGAAATGTAGTTATTAAAGTTGCTGATTCGAGCCACAGGACTTCCAAGAAACTTGAACGCGCCAATGTGAAGAGAATTACCTCCACACAGAAACTATAAGAGCAGGCATCTTTGCGTTTTTCTGACTGTGGTGATCTTCTAAATCATTTGTGAGGCCCACATTTGGGAAAATCTCCACAGAATGGGTTCCTTTTCTTTTTTTTTTTTTTATTTTTATTAGTGAAACACCCTGAGGTACAGTTGTAGATTTACAATTTTTTGTGCTTGGGTTTCGAATACCCATCAAATACCCATCCCTCTACCAGTGCCCATTTTCCACCACCATGGATAATATCCCTCCCCCCCCACCCTCCCATCCCACCCTGCCTCTGTGGCAGGGCATTCCCTTTTGTTCTCTCTCTCCTTTTGGGTGTTGTGGTCTGCAAAAGAGGCATTGAGTGGCAAACATGTTCAGTCCATAGTCTACTTTCAACATGCATCTCCCTTCCTGGGAGGATCCTCCAAACATGGGTTCCTCCTCTGATTGGGCTGTTGGGAAACTCAGGACTGAATTTCCAGCCCACCACAGTGCAGGGTCTAGGTCTGACAGTTCTGAACCCGAACTCGGCGGCCGGCCCATTGGCCCTCTCTTCACAACTTTTCTTCACCAGAATTTACCTTTATTTTGATCTTTCTGAATGTGCGCTTTTGTAAACAACTTATATCAATATGTGAATGAAGCAGAGCATTAATAAAACCAACTGTATTGTTCATAACTCAGGTATTTTATTTTTTTAATGTATTCACTTTATGTACTGTTTTCTAATCATTTAAATACTATAATCAGCACTGTTAATTTAACAGTTAAGAAAACTAAGTTCAGGATAAACTATATTACTGTACCATGATTTCTTTTTCAAATCAATCTATAGAGTTACTCAGTCATTTCTGTGTGTATACACACATACCTGTACAAACACACACACACACACACACAGAGTCACAACAGATCTATAAGGCAAGTTGTTAAAAATCAGCATTTTGTAGAATAAAGTTTATGCATAGCAGGGAAAAAGAAAATTCAGTTCAAGGCTGGAATGTGGCTCAATGTGGACTATATGTTTCACACGTGTGGAGCTCTGGATTCTATCCCGGCACCACAGGAAAAGAAAGAAAGAAAGAAAGAAAGAAAGAAAGAAAGAAAGAAAGAAAGAAAGGAAGGAAGGAAGGAAGGAAGGAAGGAAGGAAGGAAGGGCCAATGAAATAATATTTTGAGTAAGGTGCTTGAACAGGGCTCAATCCCCAATACCACCTTCTGGTTTCATGAATTCTTCCAGGAATGACTCCTGAGCACAGAGACAGGAGTAAGCCCAAACATGGCCAGATATGCTCTCCCCAAAAAAAATTTTTTAAAGGAAAGGAAACTAAGTTCAGAAAGACTGTGCTATAAACCTTTGTTAAAACATTATAAAGGATGGAGCTGGAGCAACAACACATCAGGTAGGGCGTTTGCCTTGCACAGAGCCGACTTGGGTTCAATTCCCAGCATCTCATATGGTCCCCCAAGCACCACCAGGAGCAATTCCTGAGTGCAGAGCCAGGAGTAACCCCTGTGCATCGCCAGGTGTGACCCGCAAAACAAAACAAAACAAAAATCATAGAGGGGACCCAGAGGATGGCTCAATGGCAAATACAAAACTGAGCATGAGGCCAGGAGCTCAAACCCCAGCAGCCCCACATGAGGAAAATACAGCCCCAGTGGCGCTGCTCTTTGGGGCTGGGCAGAGCACCCAAGCCTTTGCTCTAAGGGGCCGAGAGGCAGGACTAAAGTGTGTGACCCCAGTGAGCATCTTGACGAAAAAGGTATGACAGTGCCACAGGGCCCCGAGGGCACGGGTACAAGCAGCACCATAAAATACTGTTAGCCACAGAGACACCACAGCTGCGCATGCGAGCATACAGTTACCCCCCATACACACACACACACACACACACACACACACACAATGAGGGAAAGCAGAGAAACAAAAGACTCTACCCCAAATCATAGAGCATTCTCTTCAGTAAGTATTTGTTAAGCTCCCTTGTGAACCCCGTGAACCCCGATAAGGTGAAACATAAAACACATGTTCTTGCTTTAAAAAGACATATTACAAGCTAAGAGGCTTATGGCATGGAAAAATTTGTTTTTCCAATTAAGCAATAAGCCAAAATAAAGTAGCAAACTATCCCAAACAAAATTATTTTTATGGAGGCAGCATTAGAATAAGAGAAGGTAAAAAATATATCCCGTGATGCCCTGATTTTCCATTATTTCACTTGACATAAAATAATCACATGTCACCAGACATACAATGCTAATGACATACAGTGACTTGAGACAATGGATGTTTTGCATATCTGCAAATTATCGTTGAGTCCTGACTTTGTTTTTCACTGTAACTGTCATTGTCCTCCCGTTGTTCATCGATTTGCTCGAGCGGGCCCAGTAACGTCTCCATCGTGAGACTTGTTGTTGCTGTGTTTGGCATATTCATCATTTCACACACAAACTTTACACACTCACACACACACACACACACAAAGATGCTCACTACATTATATGATGACTTTTCTACCTCACACCACCATTCTGCCCTCGGAGGTCATCTTACTTCTCACAGAAGAGAAGACATCGCAAAAATCTCTTCTCTGCCCCTCTGACTGAGAAGAAGGTTTTCTGACCAGCACTCCTTTTCACCTATTCCCATCCCTTCACCAGACCTGGGTCTGCCACACACGCTCCACACCTGTGGGTCCTGATGCCGCCACTTCCACACAGATGCTCTCCCTGAGCCATGAGCTCCCCTAACACGCCCCTAACAGGCACTGCACTGACCCCTCACAACTCCCTAAGTCCAGTCATCTCATTCCTTGTCAAAGAGGAGGAAAACTGAGACGCGAGTTAGAGGGGGTTCACTAGGGGAGGGATTGATTTCCTCATCTGGATGGTCCCCAACAATCAGAAGAATTGGGGACCATCAGGCCCACATTATTGTGGCACGGGGATAGCACTTGGGGCCTCACACCTGCTAGTCTCCTACCATCTGAGCAACGTGGCGTTCTCTTGAAGTTGCTCTTTTCTTAGACATTAATTTTACCAATTTTTTTCACTGCTATTGGTGGGCCTTTAGTACAAGCTGTTAGTACATTTTAATATCTGGTGACACAAAATGACTGGTCCCACTGAGGAACACCACCTCTCCCAGTCACAAGGCGTATCCAGCAATGGGTACCCCACTGAGGAACACCACCAATCCACAATCGAGAAAAAACAAATAAAAAGGTGAAGAGTTCTGCCTCAGGTGATCACGACTATTTAGCACCAATAAACAACATGCAGAGTGAATGTCAAATAATAGCATGACATCTACTTTTGAAATTATGGAAAATCATTTTGTGAAAAGAAAAAAAAAAGAACTACAATTCCCAAGAACTCTAATTCCATAGCTTTTCATCTCTGCTGATGTTTTGCTTCTAACTCACATAATACATAGAGACGTAGTGAAGAATAGTTGTATTCTGCTCAGATATTGCAGCAATGATGAATATTGGCAAAGGATGAATTCTAACCTCAAAAAAAAAAAAAGGTCTAATCCAAAATAAAAATCATATACCTAGCCTGAATAGGAAGAGAAACAGAGAAGCATCTGAAGAGTTAACTTAAGCTTTACTGTAATGAGCAACAGTCTGGAAATAACCAAAATAATCAAGACTGAAAACAAACAAAAAAAGAAATCAATATTACTAAGTCCAAGAAAGCACAGTTATTAGAGGTACTTAACTCGGAAGAAAAGATGGTTCTCTGCTTTTTAAATATGGATT